CAGTCCCCCTTTACAAAGAGTATCTGTCACTAATGTAACGCTGTGCGCGCCACACAAGTGGTGCAAAGCGAAATGACGGACGCAGACACTCAGCCTGGTCAATCAGAAGAGGTGGCTGTCCTTTCTTCTCTTACCGTTTTTGCTGGCGTTTGCTGCCTTGCTTTGTGCTGTGCCCTTTCATCACTCGTAACACACCAACGCATATATGCACATCAGAGGATAGAAGATGTTAACCTCCAACCGTAGTCAAATTATTAGGGGGACACCTGAATTTGGGGATAGGTGCAGAAAGGATATAAGATTAGAACCATTCCATATCCTATGGTAGTTCAAAGTATTAAGGATAGTTTGTTTTGTTGTTTTTTCCACTCATGTGCTACGACAAATCAAAATCGTTGACAACATTATTTAGGGGTGATATTTAGAGAAATTTGGGCGAGATGGTATGTGCTAGAAAGATGGAAGATGTTAACGCATTCCATACTCCAACTGTAGTCAAGTATTAAGGTTGTTTGTTTTTGTCGTTTTCCACTAGTGTTGCCTACAAAATCAAAATGGTGATACCCTTATTTAGGGGTGATATTTAGAGAGATTTGGGCGAGGATAGGGATAGGTGCAGCAAGATGGCAGATGATACTTTCCATACTCAACTGTATCAGTATTAAGGATATTTTGGTTTTGTCTGTTTTTTTTCCACTCTGTGCCTACGACAATGCAAATCGTTTGACACCCTTATTAGGGGGGGGGGGGGGGGGGGGGGGGGGGGGGGGTTATCAGTGACCTTCTGTTAAGTGTTACTACTGTGTCCAGTACGTTCAATGTGTACTGCGTGTGAGCAGAAGTACAAGCGGGATATGTGAACGTCACTGGAGTTGGAGAATGATCTCCCACTGTTAGTAGAGTGACAGTCCGATGAACATGGACAGGACTGACACTCAACGCTTGCTTCAGTGGGTCACACACACACACACACACACACACACCACTTAACCTCAAATGGGTTAAAATGTCAGACGAGTAACTCTTTTTTTTTTGGTGTTTTTTTTTTGTTTTTGGTTGGTGTTTTTGGTTTTTTGTGGTGTTTTTTTTTTTTCCAAACTGCGAAACCCATCTCCCCCAACTGTCTCTCCCTCTCTGGCGCACATGACTTCCAACTCACCAAACTGGGAATTGTCTCTCTTGTCAAAGAACAGCATGTCCTCCACTCTCTACAGAGACAGAGAGCAAAACAGAACATACACTGAAGGCCAGGTTCACAAAGATTTGCAATACATGCGGTAAAATCCATGCGAGGATCTCTGCAGCATGGCACATCAGGGCAATGCGACATATATATATTGTGAACTCAGCTTTATCAAGTTTTCAACGTTACCATTTGCTTTAGTAAACGTGCTTAATGATGATAGAGGTTTATTCCATGAGCTACGTATTATCAGTGGGCTCTAATTAGAGTGTACCTGGACCACGATATCCCAGGAGTAGTTTGAGCGAGCGCAGGTCATGAGGGTGGTGAGTATGGTGTCCGTGGCAAACACCTTGCAGTCACTGCACTCTGGACTCTTAGTCAGCTACCATATATGGCGGGGATAAGGAGACAAAAACAGTACTCATATATAGCACAGGGCCACTGGTGGAACTACTATGTAGCAGTACTCGTACAAAATGGAAATAATTATCCTTCCATTTCCATATACAATTTTACAGGTATTACTTACACACAGAGTCTGGGGCACTAAGAGTGATGAAGCTTGCTTGAAAATTCAAAACACAGACACTAAAGATGCCCTATTGCATTACGATACCAGTTACTTGGCATCCCAATGAGAGATCAGTCACACGTAGCTTACCCTCCTAATGACAGGGTAATATGTCATTTACCCTCCTAATGACAGGGTCATACGGTACTTACCCTCCTAATGACAGGGTCATACGGTACTTACCCTCCTAATGACAGGGTCATACATTACTTACCCTCCTAATGACAGGCTCATACATTACTTATCCTCCTAATGACAGGCTCATACATTACTTACCCTCCTAATGACAGGCTCATACATTACTTACCCTCCTAATGACAGGCTCATACATTACTTACCCTCCTAATGACAGGGTCATACATTACTTACCCTCCTAATGACAGGGTCATACATTACTTACCCTCCTAATGACAGGGTCATCGGTGGTGGTGACAGTGTGGAAGATGCGGTCGCAGGACTGGAGAGGAAGTGGGGACTTGAGGGATATCTTCTTCTCCTTGGCAACGTCATAGTTACCCAGAGACCCACACACGCAACTGCAGACAGAGAGATCAGGGAGCTCGATACACCGTGTCGCAAGCTATTTCAGTACTAAATAGAATATTACCCAGTCTTGTTTTAGAGTGCCTCAAGAGGCAGTTCATTACTGATTCTAGATCAGTTACGGAGAGCATAGTGCGTAGTGCGTAGTAAGCCAAAGTACAATCGAGACATGGATAAGATATTTGTCATACTGACGGCTCACTCACAGTTCCTTGGGAGTGCCGGGCATGAAATTGAGTTTTGAGAGTTGTGAGAATTCTATCTCGTGGACCACTTCCCAGTCGTTGTGCACTCTTACTGACGGATCTCGTGTCTTCTGAGACGGCTGTGGGGACACACACACACGCATAAGAACCATTGCACAACAGAAAGAAGTTCATATCCACGAGACTTCGGGTCTCCCCCATTTTACTCATTCCTCAGGGTGGACCTGTGCTAATGAAGATAGAGCGTCACAGGCAGATTCCAAACTGCAACTTTCTGTCTGCAAGCGCATTGCCTTACTGACTCCGTCTCTACTGCACATTAGTGGAGGGCTAAAGCCCTGGCCTTATATGCAACTGTGTGCTACCTGTTTGCCACGTGCAATGAGTTAGAACAAGGGAAAGGTGTACCTGGTTCTTATCGTAGCGGGTGAAGTTGACCCACTTTTTCTTCTTCTTCCTCTGCCTCTCCCTGCACTGATACACATCACAACATACCACTGTGACACGTTGCCCAGTTGGTAGAGCATGCCCATTATCGCCCTATCTCCCTTTCTCCCTCCTCTCTCTCTCTCTCTCCCTCTCTTCCTCCTCTCTCCCTCTCTCTCTCTTTTCACCTGTCTCTCTGGCCTCGTAGAGCCATCTGCTGTTTCCCTCCCATCCTCCTCTCCTCTCTCCTCTCCCTGTCCCTCCTGATCTTTTGCTGCACAACAAACAACAACGACAGAATGCACAGTGCCTAGAGTAATGCTATAGGCTTGGTAGTTAATGCTTATTAGTACTTTCAGCTATTGTAGGCCACCATACTTCACCAGTGAGTGAGACATGAATTTGTATCGTGCCTTACAAAATAGCACATCTAACACACATATTGCCCCAAGTACAGTATAAGGGTCTAAGGTATTGCCAGCCCCAGACCTGGTTGAACCGAGGTCTCCCCTTCTGGTAGAGCGGTTTCTGCATCTTGGCAGTGTCCACCAGTTGGAACGTTGACTCATCTTGCTCGTGGTGGTAGGTGTACGTCTGGCCACCCAGTCCGTACACATTCACATACTTGTCTGCAGAGAGAGTGTTACACAGGGTCTCAGAAGGTAGCAGTAGGATATGGTATAGTTCAGGGGGAAAACTTCAGCAAATTTCATGGTTTAGAGAGTGCCAGCCACGAAAGCTTTCTCGGTGAACTTGTGGCCGGCATACACTGCAGTGGGCCAAATAATCCACAACTTTTCCCAGAATATTTTACACTGTCCCACAGTCTGCAGTCAACGGCCACATACTCTAGCAGACAAAGCTGTACTGCTAGCCAACCCCTGCCTCAGGCATCTAGCTGTGGACTAAAGCTACACCTTTTGTGTGTCACTCACTGGCAGATCTCCTGTCGGTGTACATGCTGCCAGACCAGTCAGCCACCTGCAGCAGGGAGAGTAGCGAGAGAGCTGGGGGACACCAGAGATCACCCTACATCGTCTACACTCCGAGCATCTCCGTCAACTACTCGCCCTCATATAATTGCCTACCCCATAGGCTACTCTCCTTCAGTGGAGGTTACAAAGAAGAAGAGAAACAAGACTCACTTTCCCGAGGCGGTCGTCCTTGGAAAACGGCTGGTAGGGAGTGTCTCTGAACTGCTCCGGAACCTCGCACGGCCCCCACCCGTCCAGGTTGTCGTGGATCTGGGGAAACAGAAACGAGCCGAACTGTTTCGAGCCGTTTCCAGCGCTCTCTGCCTCTGGCACAGCCATAGTTCCTGCTCCGAAGAAGAACCGGGCGCCGCTACCGAATACACGTGGGGCTCACGTGACCTCTTGCACTTCGACCCACGGGTGTTTCATTGTGGACATTTACGCTAATTTGGAACATATACGGTACACGCGCACTACGCCCACTTCCGTAACCAAGATACGACGCGTCGAGAGGCTGGTGACGCGAGGTTTTGTAACAAGTCGTTATGGCGACTACACAGACGCCAGGAAGCTAACACCAGCACACACCGCTGCACAGCACCATGGAAACTCTTGCACTAGTCTGCGCAGCACTTGTGCGCGCGGGATTTTCAACTGCGCATACAAAACCTACATGCACCTCTACGCAGCCGCGGTACGAACACGGTCACTTGTCAGGTCGCTCGTCTCTCTCCAGCATTTTTCCGGCGAACAGGGTAGATCAGGTCATCAACAGGACCATGTCTGAGCCCGGTGAGCGGTAACCAAGTGCTGCTTTTTTTCCTTGGCCTTGGATGCGCCTTCCTTTCCCGTATAGTAAAATCACGAGTAACCGCATAACCACGCAATGAATTGTATATACATAGGAGAAAAATACAGGGACTTCCACCAGGAAGAACTGCAGAAGCACTGTCGCGTTTGTGGAAATAAGTTGAGAGACAGAAATATATATAAATGCTCGAACACTGCCTACAGAGAGAGGCTAGCACTGCTTGGTGTGAACTGTGACCATGACGTCGAAACAGTCCACCCGAAGTATTTCTGCAACCAGTGTTATAGATCAGCACAGAGACAGCATACATCTCCTGGCAGTACTCAAATCCAGCTATTCCTGTGGAGAGAGCACAGTGAAAGTAGTTGTGAGGTAGGTATGTAGTCGAACAAACATACGTACATGATGTACATGCACGCACGTATATACATAGGTATGCCAGCATTTTAGATCTCTTCAGAGGCCAGGGCGAAAACCATCAAAAAGAGGACGACCACCAACAGATGGGAAAAGAATCCTGGGAAACCACATTAGAAGGCTCATGCCACCATCCGAACGGCCAGAACAGTATGATCTGGACAAACTCCCTGTCCCCCAGAGCAGCGTTACGTGCTCTGTATGCGATCAGATCCTGCACCAGCCACTCCAACTAGGATGCGGAGCAATTCTCTGCTCTAGTTGGTTACAATACAATACAACAGCCCTTAACAATGATGATACTACCAAACGGAAGAGTCGGTTCATCACAGGCGTCAAAGAAAACACTTTCTCGCCGAACAAAACTTATCAATGAGTTCAGGGCCGTCATCACAGCCAACGACACAGGCAGTCAGTTACAACACGAGGTGAGAAGCCTAGGGAAGGATGCAAGGCAGGAGTTACTACGGAGTGCGGGAATAACTCTAGAGATTCCTCCAGAGGCAGGACTGGCTATGAAGGCTGACTGCTCCCTTCCCTGGTTGCGACTGAGAAAAATTCGTAGGTATGTACAACATGCATGACATACACATCATAGTACCAGGACAAAATTTTGCAACAGATTCCTCAAAGACTGGGGCATAGACTTCTCAAGTGAGCGAAAACAGAGAAAACATGCACGAGAGATGGTTGGGAATAATCTGTCCGCTGAGGCTGTTCCCTTTTCGTTTCCACTGAAGTCAGGGGGGGAGGAGCTCAGAGCAGCTCCGATGGTGTATACACCTCGGAGGATGGCCCTGTAGTCCGCGGACTGGACGAAGCTCTCAAGTCTTTCAACGTGGAGAGACAAGCCTACTGGAGTGGTGCCTTTGTTGGTAATCACGTGCACCGGACTCTCAAGGTATATTAAAAGTATGTGAAACTAACATTAACCCAACACGTCACACCTGTATAGCCGAAAAACACAGAGACCCTCTGCTCAGTTCCAGTCCAAAAAACTGGCGAGATATGTCCAGATTTGCTGGTTACGGCAAACAAAATTCACTGCAAGTATGTGAAAGCCTTTGGCCTTTGGGCTCTTCAAAAACTGCCACCTCGCCTACAACAAGAACATCATGACAGATGAGGACATATCCCTACTCGGTACGGACATCAAATATCACAGAACTCATACCAGCATTTTCACTCCTACACAGGTTGTTTCATTAAGGAGTTCATGGAGTACTACCGGAAGACTTTCCCTCATGCAACAGTGTTGCCAAAGATGCACTTCTTAGAGAGCCACCTGGTCGAATGGCTACAGAAATGGAGAACAGGCCTGGGCATGATGGGCGAGCAGGGGTCGGAATCAATACATGCCCGTTTTAACACACTCAGGGCCTCGTACAGAAGCATGCCAAACCCCGTCGAGAGACTGAAAAGCATGGTCCAGGAACACTACTTGCAAATAAGTCCAGCCAACGCGCAACATGTGCCACCAACGAAAAAGAAGCTCAAAGTCTCCACTACCTGAACAGCCCTATACAGCTACTTTACATTATGTGTACAACACGGTTACCTTTGATCACTTACAGGCAGTGCAGGAAAAAATGCAGCACTTCAGTCTCAACAAGGGTGGAAACATCCGTCTTTGGGCTGTCCTTCAAGCTGCCTAGATCTTATGGCAAAATCGGGAGCTCGGTGCGACAGTCTGCACAAGTTCGTTCTTGCGCGCGTTGTAATGGCGGCCGTAGCAACCGTCTTCCCGGGCCGATTCTCCTCGGATTTGTTCCTAGTGGTTCAGAGGTCATTGCCACGTGGCTTACTCGCACAAGAGCGGAAATAGGGTGCATAGTTTAGCCAACAAAAAGCTTTGAAGTTTGGCCGCATATCCGGCCACTCGCGTTTCCATGGGATTTCAAATTTTTTTGACGGCGCGCGCGCGGCCGGTAAATGTCCACAATTTCTATTGCGCGAAACACCCGTGGACCCTTCGAACGCAACGTGCGGGAACACACACAGAATGGTGAACGTTGTAAAGGGCGTTCTGCTGAAGTGCAGCGACGCTGCCATGAAGCAGTTCATCAAGCACCTGGACGAGACGAACGCCCTGGGCAGGAAGTTTATTCTCCACGACCTGGACGACATACACCTGTTCGTTAGCGGGGACGTGTCACGTGCGCTGCAGCAGAAGCTGGACGAGCTAATGGACAGAAACTCTTACTCCGAGTACAGTGGAGACGCTGCTGGACCTCGTGTGAGAAAAGAGTGAAAAATGAGTCAAAAATTGATATTGCGCCGCATTTCTCCAAAAACACTTCATCATCCGTCACACTTTTCATAACAATTTCACTTTTGGTGAATACAAGAGAAACAATCAACTGCATAATAATTATCGTTAGTAGTGATTTAAAAAGCCAGAAATGATCAAAAGTGGTAAAAGGTAAAGAAAACGAGATGGCAGTGCGGCACAACCAAGGTGCAGTGATATTAGTTACATTGTGCCAAGGGAGAGATCGAGGGTATAAGGGGAGAGAGAGGGAGTGTTAGGAGAGTGGTTTCTGTGTGTCCTCCGGCAGACCAGAGTTGAGCACAGGGACCACCAAATCCTCCATGTTGGGCAGAGTTAGCTTCTCCTGCAAACAGAAGGGAGTGCATGAAGATGAAGGGGGGTGTCATTGGGTATAATCTTACATGGAAATAATGAATTTCAGGTGCATTTGCAAGTTAAATTGTGTATAAAAAGTACTCACATCCACCAGAGAGCATAGTTTCCTCTCTATCCAGTGAGTAATCTGGGAGAAAGTGACGGCTCTCTTGCCCAGCTTGGGTCTGGCCACCAGCTCCAACTTGGGCGTACTCTTAAACCCATACCTGACATGTGTGGACACAGAGAATTATCAACAACGAGGTCAAAACAAGGTCGCAAGGGGTAAGGGCGAAACAATTGCATTCATGGCAACACACGAAGAAAATGGTGTGGGTTATATAGAACCCACAGCACTTGGTACTCGGGGATACCCTTTACATCGAGGGAAGAACTTTCACGGATACTGAGGTTTAAGATTTGTCTGGTAATTTCATGGGCAGGGGAATTTATTTTTGGCGTTTTAACAAGAATTTGCAAAAGTTTTTCTCCACAACCACGCGATAATTGTGAGTGTTTCCTCTGCAAAGTTCTTATCAGCTACCGAAAATCGTGGAAGTTTTGTCACTAGAAAGTGAAGAGCTCACCAGATAGTGTCACTGGGAGGAGGGGGGATGTTGACAGCCACCACGCCCTTCAGCTTCCTGACCTCCACCGTCAGCTCGAGGGGGACGTTTGCTGCCTTCTCCACAGCTCTCTCGGCCGCCCGGCGAACCAGACGGTTGTTGGCGACTCTCTTTGTGATGTTGGAGACGACTTTACGCAGTCTGGCTCCTCTCCTCTTCTTCCTCTGGACCGACGATGGCTGCTGGGGCTCTGGTGATGAGTGGCTGGCACTGGCAGTGGAGACAGTTGGCTGGTGAAGGTATAAGGATGACAGTACATGTGACCATACATCAGTGGTGTGTAGGTTGAGGTGGTTTGCTATACTCTTACAGCGTGTATATAAAAGCTTGGTAAAGCATCACGGCATACACAGGCGAAAGAACGCACCAAATGCAGGCACCATGTGCAAGTGCATCGTGTATGACTCCGTCGAAATGCACACAAAGTTTGTATTACATACATGCCCAAGAAATTCGGACATTTTCCTTACTTTCATAAGCTTATCCTCTCCCTCCTCCTCCTCTTCCTCCTCCAGAGGGCTAGATAGAACGTGTCTCTCCACCTCCTCCTCCTCTTCCTCTTCTTCCTCTGAACCAGTCTCAGAATCATCCTCATCGGGGTAGACACCAGAAGACTGCTGGAACATCACTGCTGCCTGACTGTGGCTCACCCGTGATCTGAACATACAGATCAACACATGACAACCTCTTACTTTTACATTATGGTCGTGCATACCCAATTATTTACGTGCATGTTGTGTTGGCTCTAAAAAGTGGTCTGATAGAAATGGGGAAAAAATGGTTAAGCTGCTACTGGTTGTGGCTGTGTTTGCTAAAGTACTCCTATAGAATATGGCCGTTGCTTTTTGTCCCCCTTCCCTCCTTTCTTTCCTCTCCTCCTCCATTACACTTTACAGAAGTATAATCTATGTATATACACTGTGCAAAATGTGTGTCACACGTGCACACCGTATCATGTTCCTGGCATTACAACCAGTATGGAGTATTGAAAGCTCACATGAACAGGTGCAATTACAGCTAGAGAAGGTTGGTATTGCTGCCAACTGTTGGTATGTTGGTGCAGGTGTGAGGGCCAGTGAATGTTGTGCACTGAATGCTCTTGTTACCAATGAATACCTGCTTGCTGCTGATATATAGGCCTATTGGATATCTTGACAGCCGGACTACGCTAATCTATTGCTAATCCATTGCCTGTACACATTCATTCCATAGCCAGTTACGAATGATTATGTAACGATAACTCACTGGTGTTTCATGGCCTTCAATTCCGTCCCCTTCTCCTCCTCCTCTCCCTTTCTCCACTGACCCAACTTCAACCTCGTCTTGATGGTCATCACGAATTCTCCCTCGTACTCCACGTCGAAAAACACCCACACCCCGTCTACTTTGAGGTAAGGCCCCTCGGACAGACGGTTTATCACGGGCATCGACTCGCCAATGGCAATATCCGTCAGTTGGAGGGGGTCTAGGAACCGAGGGGTCTTTATGCGGACAAGTTTTCGCTCAATTCGGCTCACAATCCATTTCTTCCAGCGCTCTTCGTGCCACACGTCCCAAAAGATGCGGGCGCTCACTGCGTTGATCCAATAACTCTCCAACAAAGAGGGGCTCCCCGCAGCGGCGGACGGGAGCGACGACGCGGGACCCACACTACTCGTGTTGGAGAGGGAGCGAGCAGAGGAGGGTCTGAGTGAGTAATCGGCCACCGACGACGAGGAAGAAATGGTAGACGTGATTGAGGCGTGCGGTGGTTGACCTGAGAAATGAGAGGTGGAAATTGACACGGAGCCTTCGGTGACGTCTTCTTCTCTATCAGACATGGCAGCAGTGCTCGAGAACTGAACCATTCCCTCCTCACCCCTCGGTCGCCTGTGTTGGGCGTGGTGTCTGGATGACCTCTGACCTGTCGTCGTCGAGTGCGAACCTTGGGAAGAGAAGGACGACTTCATCGCTGTTGAAGAAGTGGGCGGGGCAGTCACAGAGGCGGAATTTCGCTGTGAGGATCGCTCGTTGGAGAAATAACGCAACATATATCCGAAGAACTCGTGTTTCTTCCGCACCAACGCTTTCAGTGGTGGTGCCGTTTGCGGCCTCACGCAGTCTGAAGAACCACTCCTGTTTGAAGCGCGACACATTGCAAAAGAGGAAAAACTCGCAGCCGCCGACCTCCAGGCGAATGGGGTACTTCTTACTCCATCGTCTCTTCCGGTTTTGAAACACGTCCTCTGGGAACAATCGTAATCTTTGCTCCCTCATTCCGCAAGTTGAACGATCTTTTCACGACGGTGTCGCCCTCGGAGTCAAAGATCTGGATGGAGAGTTCAAAGTCGTTGACGAGTTTCAGTCGACAATGGAGCCTGTCGCGACGGTGGTGAGTGCCCACGTCGTACTGGAGCGTTGCCGTGAACTCAAACTTGTGTTTGTTGGATGGCGCCTGGGAGGAAACAGGGAGAGAGAGAGAGAGGAGAGAGGGAGAGAGGGGGACTGAATCAGAGGCATCTAGTGGACTTTAGTCCCAGCCTAAATAGGAGAATGTATATACACACTGCTACTACTGAATATAGACTTGTGTTTGTTTTTTTTAATGCGAGTTCCGCACTGTAGAGTAAAAAGGAAGAAGGAAAGAATTGCCAGTCAGAGTCAGTGCTCAGCAATACGGAACAGTAGTGTATACACGGCAAAGTACATAGTTTCAGGAAATGCAATTCTCTAACACAGGTGGGAGATAGTTGTGGGAGGGAAACAGTGTACACACCGTATGCAACTACGCATTACCGTGTACAAAATGGACACACGGCACAATGCAAGCATGTGCTAAACAGACACTGCCTGACAAGAACTCTTGTGCCCCATACAGCAAACATGTGTGCAACCATATATCAGTATCTGAACCCCCATTAATGCCGAACCTCTATGCCTTACACGCAGAGGAAAGTGTTACATACAAATGCACAAACACACACTTTATGTTTGTTAAAACATTATGGTCAATGCATTAGTGAGTTGCTTCAGCCAAGAGAACCGTTTAGAAAGCCAAACAAGCACTTTAGTTCCGCATCCATGGGTTTCAGACAACCAGAATGTACACATGCCTTGTATGTATAGCAGCCCTGAGAACCACTCTCCACCACAGCTGTACATAGCTACATAAGTTTGAAAGGTGTAGTCTGAGATCACTGAGATGATCGTGAAAAACCTGCTCAACAAGTCGGTTGTGAACTTTGCTGGAGTATCAGAGAGTCGAGTGAAATTTGAGGAATATGCTCATAAACGTAGTCACTTACCGAGCGTTTGCCACACTATAATTATACAGTCCTAATATGTGGAAGGTAACATAATAATGTACGTATGTACATGTATATACATCCATGTTCTGCTGCAATAACTCTTTCATTGGTAGCACACACCCAAAGATGTAGGGTCACTACAATATTATGAGTGAAGGTGGAAGACCTGCCTCAGCCGGCTCACAATCAGTTTACATGTAACGAACCCAAATTGCTACAAAGTGTTAAGAATTTGGCAAATAAACATCTTTTTCTCTGCTACAAATGTGTGTGCACACCAGCCACCCATAGAAAAAGGTGCATGTGACTCTAAACGTACACACACACACAGAGTAGACCTGTGTCTGTCGTGATACAGACACTGTGTACCCTATTGAGGGAAGGAGAGGGGGGAGGGTGTGCAACACAATGTCCAAATTGAGCATGTGACTTGTTTTCACGCTCCCTCTATTACAAAACCTGATGCAACGGTCTATTGAGCTCTGTACTGTACTTGTAGGAGAGGCTGTTGGACCCAACACACCCCTCGCTGGCAACAAAGCTGGTGTCAATATTATGTTTTTAGGGTCAGGTCATCTTAACTCAAAACTTCATCGCTTCAGTGTTCGCATAAAAATGCTCGCTACGACTTGAGATATTAAAACAAGGCCCATGACATACAGCATATGGGAGCAGCAGATCTGACCATAGCAAGACACACACACAATTCAGTAGATTCACCTTCAGAAATACACTACTATGTACATACATACATACATACAGGAGCGAATGCAATGCATTTGTGATAAGTGAGCAGGGCAAAAGCATCCTCGCTCAATAAGGATTGTATGCAGCGAGGGTGTATACTATAGGCCAGGTGTAAGTGCAAGAACTCACTGCACCCAGATGGAACAGAACAGCCCTGAGTTTGGACTCAAAACCACCAAACATCACTCAATTACCTTACAATTTGGTAAAACTCACAGTGAATCGTGTCTTGTAGTCCTCCAGTTGAATGTTTGTCGACTTCATAAACTCGACGGACAGCTCCCCGGCCACTGAACCGCCATTCCTCGAGCCCTCGGCAGTCTCCTCTCCCTCTCTCTGGACATAGGCCACAAACACCGCCCCAAGACAGAGGTAGAAAAGCAAGAAACCGGCGACCAGCCCCGCCAGGTAGGCGAAGGGGTTGAGGGTATAGTAGAAGTAAAGGAAGAGGGTGAGAGAGAGGTGGATGCTGAGCGAGAGGAAGGGAAGCTCGACGCTGTCAATTTCATTTTCGTCTGAAACAGATTCAGTTCTGGCAGTGGGTGGTAGGACCTCCGGTGATGACGGCTGAGGGTGGGGGGCTACGATGGATGATTGTAGAGAGCCCCGCCGTTCACTAGTAGTAACTTTGGTCTGCGGGGATTCGTTTAGACTTGGTTCAGAGGTGTCGGTCTCGTTAATGACGGTTCTACTAGGGGCAGGAGGGGAGGCAGAGAGGGGCCGGCGGGTGGTACTAACTCTGGCAACCTCGGGAGAAACGTTACTGGGGAGGACTCTGCGCGATGGCGGAGGTGTGCTGGTAGTGGCGAGGACAGACTGGCTCTGCTGTGACTGTCTCAGTTTCAGTCGGGAGTCGAGCTTAGGTGAGCGAGGAGGGCGAGGCGGTGCTGTCTTCTTCCCCGTGCTGTTGAGTTTCCCCGGGCTACTGCTGTGTGTGGACGATGAAGAGGGGGGAGGGGAGGATCGAGAAGGGTGGGCTGGCCGGTTCTTCCTCCGTTCCTCTGGACTCGGGGAGAAATGGTCTTCGCTGATCTCAAGAGTGTTTTCGTCAGAGTTTCGCCTGTTGCTGCTCTTTCTGGACGTCTCAGAGTGTTTCAAGAGTTTGGCATCGTCGGGGAATAGGTCATCATCCCCGACAGTGGCGGCTTTAGATCTCTCTGTCGCTCTTGAATCGACCGCTAGCTTGGAACCATCCGGGAACAGCTCGTCGCTATCATTACGAGAATATTTCCTGCCACTTTCCCTACCTTCAGCGTCCGTTTCCAGACCCTGTGTACCACTGGAGGTCAGTTCCGAGCCGAGGGACACATTTCTAACTCCACTACTGCAATCCTTTACTGGAGATCCAGATGTTGGACTATGTGCAGGAGGCTTGGGGACCATGTTGTCATTTCCATTCACAGCTTGCTCTTGAGCAAGTCCCTTCTGTTCAGCCGAGCCTGGAGGCTTGCTGTCGAATCCAAAGTGTTTCACCGCCGGCAGTCTAGTGCCATTAGCCTCCCTGGTAGCTGGTCTTAGAGTCTGGTTGGTGCTGGTAAAGAGAGGGTCACTGGGGTGGGATTCATTGGAGGAGGTGAGAGGACTAGGGGAGGACTCCATGTCCAGAGCTCGTGGTGAGCCATACGGACGACGTGGAGAGGAGGAATAGGGGCGAGATGGGAGGGCGGCTGATCCGTGCTCCAACAGCTCTTCCAGAGAGGGCTCGTAGTGTTGTGAATCATCAACACTAACACTCTTACCATGAGTGAGGGGGCCACCTGAGGATAGGGTTTCACTGGCAGTGGGGGCCAGGGTTTCCCCAGCTTCCTGGATGTGGGTATTGTTGTTTGCGGACTCATTATTTACAGCCAGTGCTCCCTGTATCTCCTGCCTCCTCTTACTTTCCTCTCCACCTCCTCCCTCTCTTTCCCAACTCTCAGCAACCACAGTAGAAGAAGGAGGGGACTGGCTGTCAAATAATTCATCTGGCCCCAATAGGTGGAGTGACTCCAACACTTCTGCCGCCACTGCCTCGTCTAGGTCCAGGTCCTCGCTCTCTTCGGAGTCCGTGGGTCCCGTGGCCTGTCGAGGGAGACGTCTATCTCCTCCGACATCTGCGCTAACGTCTTCTCCGTCCGACGGGAAGAGAGGGTCATCTTCGTCGCTCTTGGTAGAGACGTGGGGAGGCTCTCTCGCTCTTGTCCCACCGTCTCTCTTGTCTCTAGGTCCCTGGTGCTGCTGCTGGGCAGAGGAGGAGAAACGAGCTTGTTCGTTCTTGTCGACGGCGGTGCCAGAGAATATCGGGTCTGAGGTGGCGTCCAGGTCATCCAGGACGGCCTCCAGCTCCCCGGCTGGCTCCTGCAGACCCCTGAAGTGGAGGTCCACCCTGGGCTTGGCGGCTCTCCTGCCTCCTCTGCTTCCTGCCGCGGCTTCTCCGACTCTACGACCCGCGTTCCTGACCTTGCGAATGAGGCGGTCGCCGCCGCTGTGCATGAGGCGGTCCTTGATCTCCCTGGGTCTCCACGACATGCCGTTCTTCTGTATCTTTAGTCTGCCTAGCTGACTAGCTGCCTCTCAGAATAGAGATACGAGGTAACGGCTTCCTATGGGAAGAGACCGAACGGGAGAAAACAGAAAGGGCGGAGCTCCCTGCGTGACGTAACAACTATGCGCATAAGTCGGTCGGTCTGTCTGTGTGTGTGTACGTGTGTGCGTGCGCGTGTGTCCGTCCGTCCGTCCGTCTGTCCTCCGTTTTTCTCGGTAACCGCGGCAACTCTGAGCGTGAAACGTGGACATATTTTCAACTAGGAGGAATGCATGGTAAAATAAGATTCTGGAGCGGAGAAGCCCGGGGGAAGCTGGTGAAACGGACGGCTGCCGAGGTGGGTGTGCGTCAAATAGAGATCGGGAACCATGCTTATACTTAGATGCTAGATGCTTTGCGTGTGTGGAGAAGATTTGCTGGTCTGGCTGTATTGATGGTACAGTTGAGTAGGATCGAGATTGCCGGTGAAGTGAAAGCAGCACACGCCCCAGTGAATCCGTTCAGTGAAGGAGCCACTGAAGTAGCGTAGCTCATAGAGTATGTAGCTGAATAGTGGTGAGGGTTGTCAAGACCAGTGCTTTTCACTTTGCTGTTACTAGTAGTAGTAACTAGTATTGAACTCGCATGTGGCAAGAACTGACGTAGTATAGCTAGTAGCCATTGGCTGAATAAAGAAAAAAGTGGCGAGGGTTATGCACTTTCAAGTGCTTTTCATTGTAACTGTCAGTCTATTTTCTTTTCTATTTTCTATCCTTCCATGGCAAAACATAAACTTTGAAACTTGAAACCAACAATGAGTATACAGTGTAGTCAAAAAACACAAGTACACTTGCCAAAACACCCACAAAAACACCCACAAAAACAACAGTATCCCTGAGGGTGGGCCCCTCCTATAATGTACATAACAAAAACAAGAACAACACAAGTGTAAGAATTACAATAAGAATGATAATGATACCGAGTAAATAAACGGGTCCTAGCCAATTCTTCTCGTTATTGATGGAGAATGAGTGGGGTAAAGAGTATGCAAGATCTTCGTTCCCTGAAGGTACGGTTTTTATCAGTGTGCAAGTGGGATGTAGCAATTCCTCAAGTGTAATGGCATCGTAAGGGATGCAACATTGGTCTCGCTCGAGGTGACAAGTCTTAGAATCAAACTTGGAAAGGCTCACATAGCGTACTTCGCGTACGTTTAGCGTATACTTTACGGAATAGGCCTCGGTGTCATCTTGATGTACAAAGATGCACACGTGATAGCGTCCGTTGCGGTGGATCTTGATATAATGAGTATTCTCACATGTGTACTTACCACTGTCATGAGTGCAGGAAACTTTGTGAGAGGATTCGGTCGTGTTGGGAAATACAAATTTTTCAGCGTACGTTTCTGGTGGTTGAGGGTTGCATTCGTCACTTTCCTCTCCTGGGTCGAACTGAAACACGTAGATGGTGAGCGACATGGAGGAGTTTGTGGCGAGAGTCAGATTGAATCTGAACAAGCTGTTTGAGACCCAGAAGAAATTCAACGGGGAGGGATCGACGGTGTGTGAAAATAAATGCTCAATCGTTCTATCCTTCTTTTCCGTTGAAATGTCTTCACATCTTCCATGTTCCAGATACACAACCGAATTGCTCATCATTTCATTGATGGGATTGATGCAAACTTTGCTAGTGTATACTGAGGTATTGCCACTGTCGGTGTATTCATTTAGGTTGTATACCTCTGAGGTGCTCATCAAAATTATTGAGGGTCTGTTGTTGCTCTGAATAATTTCAACCATGCAGTAGATCATTAGTGCAAGTGTTCCAGCAATTAGTGCAGCGAGAACAATAATGACAATGGAGCTGGTGACACAGCAGGACTTCCCTGTATGTACATATACAAAATGAGCCTTGTACACTCGCAATTGAACTTGTAGTATACTTACAATGTCTCCGTGCCACTTTAGCAGCACAGCTTTGGTAACCATCAGGTGGTCCCTGTCCTCCAGGTCCCTGCGGTCCCACATTTCCCTGTCCTCCAGGTCCCTGCGGTCCCACATTTCCCTGCCCAACAGCACCCTGCGGTCCCACATTTCCCGGCCCAACAGCACCCTGCGGTCCCACATTTCCCTGCCCAACAGCACCCTGCGGTCCCACATTTCCCGGCCCAACAGCACCCTGCAGTCCCACATTTCCCTGCCCAACAGCACCTTGCAGTCCCACATTTCCCTGCCCAACAGCACCCTGCGGTCCCACATTTCCCTGCCCAACAGCACCCTGCGGTCCCACATTTCCCTGCCCAACAGCACCCTGCGGTCCCACATTTCCCTGCCCAACAGCACCCTGCGGTCCCACATTTCCCCGCCCAACAGCACCCTGCGGTCCCACATTTCCCCGCCCAACAGCACCCTGCGGTCCCACATTTCCCCGCCCAACAGCACCCTGCGGTCCCACATTTCCCTGCCCAACAGCAGCACCCTGCGGTCCAACATTTCCCTGCCCTTGTCCCACATTTCCCTGCCCAACCCCTTGCTGTGCTCCACCAGCCTGTTGTCCATTGGCACCAACCAGTAACTCTTTCTCATCGTCTCCTTCATGTTCCCGTTCTAGTTTGTTCTTAGCAGGCTCACTTTCTACCTGATCTTGCTCCTCGGCAGGCTGTTGTACAACACGACCTCGCTTTGCCACAGCATGAGTCTGTTTTCCTTCATTTTGCATTCTATTTTGGTGTCTTCTTTCTTTCTCCCTTTTCTTACTCTTCCCCTCTTTTTTAACACGTCCAACACCTTCATCCGAAGTACTCTCTCCCATGCTAGTACTCTCATAATCGGTGGTAGAAGGTTGCTGGTTATCATCATGGTCTGACAAGTGCCATTGTTTCACCTGCTCCAAAAACAAAAGGTACACCGTCATGATGAATAGCTACATGCCAACTAAACCAGATGCAGAGTAGTCCCCTTTATCACATACTTACCAGTTGCAAACTCCTGCTTGCACTTTCTGCTGTTTCTCGGTGGCTTTTTCTTTTTCTTATGTACAATGCTCCCACCTGTAAAAGTTACAGGTTCATCGGAAGTTAGGGAGTTGGATTCGGCTGTTGATGGCCATGGACCACCATTCTCAGCACAACCAACAAGTGTTGCTGCTTCTTCTAGCAAGGGTATTTCAGCCATCACGAGGTATATACACAGAGCAAGCGAATCAAGACGAGGGGGGGCCCCGGGAGCCAGCATACCATGTACGCATGCGCACCGCTTATTGATGGGTGTTGGACCACGCAACGCGGTCCGTGACCGTGCCAGTTTGTCGCTCTCGAACGCAGTCGTTTCAGGAAATTCGCCCTGTATATACCTTGGAGGCACAAGAAGCTACAGCGAAGGGCGTGTATCGACCCCTGCATGCTATCTACTACTTAACTTGCCCGTGTCAGACTCTCCGCTGGCTATACTAGCGCGAGACTGCAGCTGCGAGTACAAATAGCCCAGCCCATCTATTAGCAGTATCGCGCATGCGCAGTTCGCCGAGGGTTTGCACTTTGGAACTGTAGTCATTTTTTGACACTTGAGAATTATTTGGGAGGGACCAATCAGATTGCCTTATTTCATTTCGACGTTTCGCTGTATTTCAGCCATCATCTCGGCTACGTAGCGAAATTTGCAGCACTTGCTGATCGTGTCTCACATGATCCATGAATATTTGAACACCTCCAAATGAATTAACACACAACAGCATTGTTTGTTTGCTGTGATCGTTTATGTGTGGGTGGACAAGTTTGGGCTGTGCCGTACACAAATTATGCACGAAATCACAGGGGGTTGGGCCATGCTGGGGCAAAGTCAAAATTTGTCCCATCAACGAATATTTTAACAAGCCAATTATCATTGATAGAGCATGTAGTCAGCATAATGATCGTGATGATAAATAATCATTATAATCCTGAAAATCTCTTAGTTGCAAATTGTGACATGACTGCCACAGAGGCAGCAAAACAAATTCCCTGCAATAAAACAACAAACAGCATAATCAAAGCATTGACGGTAATTAAAAAACACACATACTTGGTGTTTGGCTCTTTCTGCTCTTACAGGTATGACCATGGTCTTGGTGGAGGTTGATTGGCTGGGAACGTCGGGGGCTATTCTCTGTAATAGCGCCATATGATCTTGTACCTGCCGCAGGAGAGAAAAACTAACCAAAGTGACTAAGATGGTTGTTTACTCATTGAAGCCTTGAGCTATATAGCTACTGACCTTCTGCTTGAATGATCAATACTCTGGGCGGAGTCCCACTTATGCTCATATTAATACCAGTACTAGAGGAAAGTTGTCCTCCATCTTCAGCATGATGAGACTGCTGTCGGTTCTGTAGCTCATCCATGATACTATCCACCAGTGAGCATACACTCAAGAATGCGAACTGAACTTGTCTCAACAGCACTCAGACTTTTATTGCACATGCTACTTAAAAACTTGTGACATACTATGGCATTGTTCTCACACACACTGAGATCACCATATAAAACTACGGTAAGGATTTTCAGTTTGTCAGGGACTATACCGTCTTACTGTTATTAACCCTCGCTGTGTGTGTGTGTGTGTTTGGTATGGGTTAAGAAGAGAAAGGAGGGGGAGAGTTGTGGGGAACGAGGTGTAGTGACACAGACCGGGGGGGACTTGTCAGCGTCATCAAAGCACCGGCCCACCAGACATACACTCAGGCTGTGCATGGAGTTACAAACCACAGTGTGCTTCCACATACTATTATTATTTGGTATATAGATGTGCCCACTAAGTAACAGCTAGCAAACCCCGTCTCTCTGTCTTGTTTGTCTGTCATCTATCTAATGCACCAGTCATCAAGGGAGCTCCTCAGCAGATCATTGTGTAGGTCACAGGTTTCGGTCCCTTTAATCTCCCGACCTGTGCCTCACTACCACTGGGGCGGGACCACTCCCACGTAACGGAGTCTGGTATCCGCAGTCCTGTCGGTTTGTCTTGCTAAGCTATTAGTTTGTCATGCTGTAGTTCAGTTTGTCCGTTTTTCTAAGTCCTGTTTTAGGTTGTGACGGTAAAAGAAGGTAGTATGCATGTAACAATAGACCATGTGATGCATGCACAGGAGGTTTACCTACATCCTTACTGCCCAAGATTAGACAAGATACACATACCTGCCTTGGGCCGTACCTGCTGGCATCTTCTTACAATCACCACACAATTATTGGTACTCCACGCACAATTATTGGTACTCCTGTGGTGATTGTAAGAAGATGCCAGCAGGTATTATATACCCAAGGCAGGTATGTGTATCTTGTCTAATCTTGTTACAACAAGGCGAGTAAGGATGTAGTAAACTTCCTGTGCAAGCATCACATGGTCTATTGTTACATGCATACTACCTTCTTTTACTGTCACAACCTAAAACAGGACTTAGAAAAACGGACAAACTGGGAGAGCAAAGGGGATTTTTTCCTTCTGTGTGTGTGTGTGTTTGTTGGGGGTGATCGAGGAGAAAGGGAGGGAAAGGGGGAGAAAGGAAAGTGACCAAACACAAACACAATGAGACCAGAGGCTGGGAGACTTTTGTCAACTTCACTACACGCGGCAGCTCAGTGGTCAAAATTATATGTATTTTTAGATTTACCAGGGTACCCACTTCTGCTTCAGAGTTTTGCGCTTGTGCAGCCCTAGCCTATCACATTATAGTTACACAGTCTCACCCATACAAACACAAAGAGCAGGACATGGATGCCCAGCCTTGAGAACTGGGGACGGTGGGTTAAAGATCTTTGATGGCTAGCCAACTCTCCCCACACATCCAATGTCACAGACGTGCAAAATCTACAGCTTACAGTACTGTATTGAAGTAGTTACAATCACATACCTTAGGCTCTCTGGGGGACTTGCAATCCTATGGTTCTACTGATGCACGTGGGGTATTTATAGGGAGTTATGATGTCATAGGTATGGAATTTCCTAAGGCGGAAGGGGGTTGGGTCCTGGTGGGTATTTTACTCTAGTGATAGTGAAAAGCACTAAACCCCGGCCCCAACTACAGTAACCCTCGCTGCGCATGCGCGCCGAGGGTTAACAAGTACTGTAACCCTAGCTGCGCATGCGCGCCGCCGAGGGTTAAAAATGGCGTGTGTGTGTGTGTGTGTGTGAGGCAAAACTGTTTTGGGATTTAGAGGGTGTTTTGGCAAACAGTTATGAGAAGACAAGGGTGTCTAGTCTGGTGATAATCACAGGTGTAAAACATGATGCTCTGTGTGTGTGTCCGTGTGTGTCCGTCCGTCCGTCCACCGTTTTTCTCGGTAACCGCGGCAACTCTGAGCGTGGACATAATTATTATCAAGTAGGAGGCATGCATGGTAAAATAGGATTCTGGAGCGGAGAAGGCCGGGGAAGCGGGCGAAACGGAGGGCTGCCGAGGTGAGTGTGCGTCAAATACTGAGATAAAGACAGTTGAGTAGGAGCAGTGAAGTGAGAGCCAGGAAGCGAATCTGTTCAGTGAAGAAGTCACTGAGATAGTGTAGCCAGGTAGCTAGTAGCCATTGCCTGCTGAAATAAAGAATAAAGTGGTGACTGAGGGTTATGTATATAGCTACTGTCAAGTGCTTTTCACTTTGCTGTAGTAGTAAACTAGTATTGAAAACGCATGTCCAGAATAATGTGGACACTGATTGGAATAAAGTTCAATATATACAGGATAATGTTCACAAAATGAGAGATAGGATGTTAGCTATGGCTATATAAATGTTTCTTTGTAGATAAATGGCTGAAGTAAAGTTCAGTAGTGAGCTCATATTTTTATTTATACTGAATGGAGTGACTTTTTCACGTTTCAATGCTGTGGACAGTGCCATCAACGGCATGCATTGTAAATGGTTTGCCCCTCAAGAGCGATGTTGAAGTTATCTCTGTGCAGTCTTTGGTCTCACATATGTTGAGCAAAATAGTCCCATATGCTCGTATGGACAGGAATGGACAGTAACTTTATGGTTATCCAAAGACACAATACAGCTGAAATTAGTAGATGGCTTAATTAATTAAAGGAAGAGCAGTCTCTGCTATTGAACCTCCATAATTAACAGTGGCGAGGGTTATGCACTTGTGCTTTTCATAATTGTCTGGTGTTCTATTATTCAGGCATATGCAGTTCAGAGTACAAGGCATTGGATAATACATCCTTACTAATGGTGATTTTCTGCAGTTCAGAGTATGGGGGCCATTGCACAATTGTTGTTGCAAACAATGATGCTAGTAATATTCAGTTTCCAGTGGGAAAGGGGTTACGTCTGAAATGCAATGAATAATATTGCTGGGTGGTTTTGTTGAGTCAACAAAAGCTTGACGTAATTGGATGAAAAGATGGCAGCCTAGTTCAGCTTGTCCAGCTAACGGTTAATGCCTTTTGTGGTTCTTAAAAGTTCAGCAGAAAAGTGACAATGGAGTCCACATACCACATAATCATGGACTGTACACAGTATATACACAGTTACAAAAAGGTTGACACACAAAGGTTGAAGAAATACAGATTCAGACACGTAAGCAAATATGTCCGGCTATCTTCAGTTCAGCACAGTACCTATCTGGGTGGGCTTTGTGATACTTCACTCTACCAACGATACAAACAATAGACAACACAAGACACAGGGCAAAAACAAACGCCAGCAACCAGCAAGCTACTACCGCATCCCACTTTGAGTGTGGCTTTACTTTCATTGGAAACGAGAGTTCGTTTGCTTCTAGGCTGCTCGACGGAGCTGTGTTGTGGATAAAGACACAAGTCGGTTCGTACATCTCTTGGAAGACACTTCCGTAATTGTTGCAGCATTGTGATTGGTCCAGTCTACACTCCTTATTCTCGTAGGGAGCAGTGTCACTTAGATCGTACACACTCCCATTTATCTGAAGGTTGTACGTGACAACATGATGATGCCAAGACTCACCGTATAGTGAAGAGAACATGCACACGAGATAGCGATCGGTTTTGTCTATCCCATACAACGGAGATGAACACTCTGCTGTGATGTTGTCGTCACTAGTACAATTTGTATTCTCTGAACTGGTTCCATTGTAGTTGAACTGCCACCTGTGAAGGTACCCGGTGGGCATATTTCGTGCTACACACTCCCTTCGCTGGTCCGTAGTTTTAATGACATAGACATTCAGCCATCGTGTTGTCGTTATATTCGGTATGAGACCTATCCTCATCTGAAGCAGTATCTCAGTGTCGGCTGTCCAGAAGAAACTCAGTTTATGAGTTGACCCGTGAGTAAACTCCTTTGTGATATTCTCATAGACGCGTCTTTTTTTAACCTCTGAGCACGTTATCCGCACAAGCGACACTTCCACCTGCTTTTGATAGTCGTTGGTTGAAACCTTTTCGATGCAAACATCGCCCGAATACCAGCGCAGTTCCTTGTTTGTAATATCGCTGACCCTGAGGGCTTCGGTGTTGCTTACCCATACGCTCCACTCCTCTGAATTAACTTTGTGAACCTTGTCAGTGGTGTAGGCACCCAGAGTAACGCAGCCTATAAATAGGAGGGTGAGAGGCAGGAGCGCAAAAGTGATGCACAGCGCAACACGTTTCCACAGTTTAACGACTTCTTCGACTTGCGGTTCTGGTTCTATCTCCCCACCTCTTCCCGGTTCTCCTTCTGGTTCTCCTTCTTCTTCACGCGGACCGTGTGGTTCCAGTTTTGGCATCTGATTAGGACTCTGTCGTTTGTACTTAGTCCTATGGTCGTATTGGGTCCCTTCATCATCTGAATGTGTTCGATTTCTCCAACCTGCAAGAACATCATACTGCGTATATACTTACCATGCAGGGCATGGGCAAAATCAAGGGGACTACGGACCCAGCAACAGGTTCTCTAGGACCCATCGAAGTATTGAGGAGGGAAGTGTGTGAGCTGTAGGCGCTACTAGCCTGCCGCGTTCCCTCACCTCTCGGTCGTTGACTGCGAGGATGCCGCGGGCGGTCTGGGTGCCCGCCGTCCTCAGAGAGGGCACTGAAGCTTCTAAAATGCCCATGTTCATCACTCTCCACAAGAGGCGAACGCTCACCACTGCCAGGACTAGCCATGAATGATGCACTGAGGATATCGAGGTCGAGAGAAACCGAGAGAGAACTAGCCACACCTTCTCTCTTCTCGGGGCGCACGCGCAATGAGTTTACCCCAAAGGGCAAGGTCTACACGCTATTTTGCACTAGGACAGGAGAAAAGCAAAATACCCCAATTTGTGTGCGTGACTTGGTTTTCAGTGGAAAATCATTACTGATAATATCGCGGCAGACAAACAAACACACACATTGGTTCATCCGGCTCTTGCAAGACACTCCAGTTTATGACGGTAACTCAAATCATGATGCTCGGATTATCGGTGGCAATTCCAGGCACACCAAGACGAGACTAGTTTATTCCATGTGTGGAGAGAAAGAACTGTGACATATGCAGGTAGCTACAACTGACAGTCTCAGAGCTGATTCCATTGAAGTTGAACTGACATTAATTCTGAGTGAAGGTATTGAACCGTGTGTATAGCTAGCTGGTTGCATCCCAACCTCTGTTAGAAGTAGTTGGCTGGCTGATGATAAACCTATGTCTGAGTTCTTGCAGTCTGTGTAGCTACTTTCTCTATTGACACTTACCTATTATTGTTCCCATCCTGGCATCCAGTCGCGTTGAGAACAGACTTTTGAGTTTAGAGATCTACTTTGCACAATGGCTAATGAAGCAGATACTCAGAGCAACAGCTACCACAATGAGAAGGATAAGCGTCAGAATAGCAATCAGAGCACTGCATAGACTGATACACTGCCACTGTCGAACTCGAGGGAAGCAGGATTGGCTGTTGATCCGTGTCTCTGTGTTGAAAAGGCTGTTCTCTCTGCTCCTCTTCTCTCCATGGTCATCTTGTTCCATCTGAACAACTGCCTCTTCATCAAATTGTGTTTCTTGTACTACTCCTTTTCCTTTAGCATAAGAGAACATAGTGGATCTATGCAACGTTCCACCACGCTCCAACGTTATGGCTACCACTGCTACGTACCTTTCTTGTAACCAAGAAGTGAAACTATGTAGGAAGCGGACTCATTCTGCAGCTAACAACGCACCTTTCACTGGAATGTCGGCGTACGGATCTCCGCCATCCTCAGAGCGATACCCCAGAGATTGGGAGTTGAAAATACTGTATGTTCCGCACTCACTTTCGCTCCCTATATACAAGAGGAAGCATTTTCGAAAAAAGTTACGTTCTGCGCAAGCGTTTTGCGTTGAAATCTCACGCGTATTATAGGTCCATGCTTCATACAGTGTTCATAATGTACCGTAGTTACCACGAGAAAGTCTAGCTATCATTACGGCCACACATTAGTATAGTCTGAATAAATGTCTGAAAGGAAATTTATCTGGCTAGTATATAGATGTACAAAAAGTGCTATATATCTTTCCTTATAAGTTTTTTCAAAGCTAAGCCTACAACATCAATAAATGGTATGCATGATGATACTGTTAATAACGCAAACGAAGTGTATATATATTCAGGTGATGTTGAGTCATTGTTATTGATGATCATGCTCCATAATCCAATTACCACTGCAGCGAGCATGGCAGCTGTGATGAAGTTGTGCAATAACTGTTTGAATGGGCGAAGAACTAAGAGAATAGCAATGTAAAGGAGAGCAAAAAACGAGGCATAGTGATAGAATATGCTGCACTGTGTTAAAGTGAACGTAGTGTGCATCACTAAAGGAAAAAGAAAAGGAAATACAGAGAAATACCTGTAGTTTGTTGTGCCATTAGTGCCATCTTTGTAATGGCCTTGGAATACATCAATGAAAGTTCTCAGAGCCAAAGAGTTTAAACCAGTTCTATTGAGGACTCTTTGAAAGCAGGAAAAGGGATAAGCGAACAAGAGAATGACAGGCAAAATAAAAAACAACAGGACCATTACAATTGCCAATAGAGCAAATTTAGCATGTTGATTGCCAAAAAACACTAATGATGGGTCGCTGTAGACACAATTTTTCGCTAGCAGTTTTCCATCCAACATTCGGTAGTATACTACCACAGGCATCAGAATATTGACAGAGGTTACAAGCAAGCGGGAAGAAGAGAGGTACAAAAATGAAGCAAACACATCTATCAAGGACTTGTTTCCTCTTAATTGCTTACGTAATGGCCCAAGAATCGCCACTATAGCAAGCCACACCCACACAATTGGCTTGATACCTCTCTCGTGGAGTTTGACAAGCAAGTGAGTTAAAAATATCAGAAAAACTGGAAACACAACTATTCCGTAATCAAGAGTGTTAAGCTCAAGAGCAGTAGCAGTTGGATTTAGACAAAAGGTGTAGTAAATACGACCAAAGTCAAGGTTAAAGTGATGCGAATGTTGTATACAGTTCCAGAAATCGGTCGCAGAGCACGCGGATCGATCAGACCGCGCGGGTACTCCGGTAAGCCGTTGCGTATTTGCATATTGGCTTTTTCGTGCTCTAGCTTGCAACGGAGCATTTCAGAGAAAACCGCACTTATTTTCTGACATTCGTCGCCCGTTGGGTAGATGGTATCGTTCTGGGACGAACAGACGTTCGAGGAGTGAGATATAGAGTAACAGACAAACAGACAGACAGACAGACCCAATGAAAAGCACTAAGGTGCAAACCCTCGGCGAACTGGGGATGCGCGGTACCGCTAATTGATGGGCTAGGCTGCTATTAGTATGCGTTTACTCGTGGTCTCCCGCTAGTAGCTCGCAGAGGTCTGACACGGGGGCTAGCTAGAGTGAGAGATAGTATGCGAGAGGATCAACTGTAATATACGGCCACATAAGCGCAACGGCTTCCGTAAGCGCCCACCATTCACACCGCGTACCGACGACGTGGTTGGCGCTACTAGCCCCAGCCCCACACTTTCCACGCGTTTTCACAATTTCTGTGCATGCTCAGAGCTTGGCGGCTGCGGAAGAAGTCGCGGGTCTTCAGCGGTAGAGCTAGAACTGCGCGAAAATGTAAAGGTTGGCAAGGACACTGGCGCGCACAGAATGGCGGGAATTTTAGAAAATGTAAGTTTGGAAAGTTGAAAAAATGACAAGATATTAGAGCCTTGCAGCAGTCTCAGCGACCGCACGAGCGCTCTAGAGCGACTGCAGTGGTTTCAACAGAAGGGCCTAATTACAACGGGCCAAGAAAGCCAAACCTGCAACCAGCCTATGGATTTACAGAGCAGAAGTGATTGTAACTGACAAGTACAGGTAAACTTGTACACTTGATACTCAACGCAAAGTATATATATAAGTTGGGAATCCAATAAACATACAAGCTAATGTTTCTACCAAAGGTGGAGGTGCACAGATTTGAATTGCCGCAAGTCAGCTGGGGCTGCGCGATCGAAACCTTTTTCGATAAGTCCAAACTGACACTGAGGCATGGATGTCCTAATCTACTGGTGGGTACGTCGTACCCAGTGACAGACGCAGCTCAGGAGGCAGAGGTTCAAGAGAAGAGTGCGGTGCAGGCATACCAGTACTGAGGAGCATCTGCAGCTGGCGTCTCCTCAACCATAGATGCACCTCTCATGCTTGGAGGCCCAGTGAGTACTCGTCCAGGTGACGGAATCCCTATTCGGCACAAGCCCAAAGTACGTAGCAAATCAGAGGTCGTATCATAGGTAATATCCACTTTTTCGGTGCGCAGCACCATCGAGAGCACTACTCAAGAGGTTGGGTATTCGGGGATGGTCGACACTAGCAGTACTCCAGCTCTAGGTGTGATGGTACACCGTACACGACAGGATCGGCCGAAACGCTCCTGCCCATCTGCAGAGACACCTCAGACCAGGGACCATCGTCCACAGTGAGCAGGGGGCTGCTTATCGGAACGTCCCAGCAGCTGGCCCCAGTGGCCAACACACGGCACGTCAATCACTCTTTGAACTTCGTCGGACCCCCGCGACTGGTGGGTTCACACCAGAACGTCGAGTCCTACTGGAACCGTGTGTGAAGACGAAGTCAGAGGGGAATGAAGTGGGTTCACGCAGACATGGTTACGTCTATATGGGACGAAGGCATGTGGCGCGAGAGAGACACGGAGCGTGTGCGGACGGTTGTCATGCCAACCTATGCCGAGATATAGCCCTCCGCTACCCCAGTGACTTGGATGTCGTGCCATGTTCCCCACAGGTTGCAGCAGTTCACTTTCCTTTTCTTTTGTTATCTCACCACGTGTTTATTAAAGTGTGGGGTCCGTCGGTGGACGCGGGTTTCTTGTGAATGGTGGGCGCTTACGGAAGCCGTTGCGCTTATGGTCCGTATATTACAGTTGATCCTGCGAGTCGATGACACGCCCTTCGTTGTGGCTTCTTGTGCCTTCAAGAACAGAGAGCAAGCGGACCTGGTCGAGGTTATAAGCGCATGCACATTGTTCCGCCAGCGATAAAAATGGGCCGACTACGCATTAGCCGTACAATGGTGGAAAGCGCTCTAGCTCTGCACGGAGCATTTCAGAGAAAAACCCCACATATTTCTGACCTTCGTCGCCTGTGGGTGATGGTATCGTTTCTGGGACGACACAGACACCGAGAGACGTGAGCTTGAGAGTAAACACACAGACCAAAGGACCAGACAGCGATCAAGACACGACAAACCCAAACTACTGTACACCCCACGCGGCGCATGCGCGCCGCAGGTTAACTACTGTACCTCGCTGCGCATTGGCGCCCGAGGGGTAATAATGTGTAACTGATTCATTAGTGTGTGGGTCTGCAGCTAAATTGGCAGTCATCGTTCAGTTGTTGCATGGTGTGCATAGACTGTGCGTACTACACTGTACTGCGCCTCTATATTTTGATCTGGTCACGCTTGTCTGTAGTTGTAAAGAACTTCGGTACAAAATGATCCACTACTCTGCAGGTTGGACCAGAGGACATTCTCCACGGCAGAACACACGGCTACTCGAGGCCAATCACTACAGACTTATCTAATGCGCCGGGTTTCTCCGTGCATGTCTCCAGATGAGAAATGGAGCACGCGCGTTATTATTATATGCGGTATGTACACATTTATGCGCATGCGGTTATAATGTAATCAAGTATCGTAGCTGCGAAAGGAAGTTGCTCTGGCTGGTGTTCAGGCGGGCCAAGACCTTGCTATCTCTCGATTGTTTATATGTCCAAATGTGTACCACAGAGAACACTCGTAGCCTTGCAAACGCCAGTGTGCCTTTCTGCAGAAAGTGCTGACTGAGCGGGTTGACTGGGTTGCGTGGTGTGGGGCCAGGGCGAGCATATACAACTCTAAGGCGCACGTGACGTAAGCGATGACGCGTCGCCTGCGCGGTTGTGGTTTTTGCTGATAGCTGGAGCTGGTGGTATAGTGGTCATTCTAATGTTACTGTTCCGCGCAACTGGACCTGAGCCTGAAGACCATCAGAGTAGAGCGCAACTGGAGAGTGCTGCAACTTTCGGCCGTTCTGAACTGGTAAACCGTCCTAGCAATGATTGTAGTATTGAACGGATAATAGTTTTTTACGCAACTACAGGTCACTGGTACGCCAGAAAGATGTGCTGCTAGCAGACCCATTTTTCAAATGATACCTGAAATTGACCTGGAACCTGAGGTATGGTGAATGCAAAAATCCAGTGAGATTTAAGACAGTACACTATTATAATTGCAGGAAATGCTGGGGATGCTAAATTGGGAGGTGGTGCCATTACAAGAAGAGAGTTATCGATTTCACTGCTCCAGCATTGTTACTGGTCTCCAGTGATGTAACGTTACTATGGAATTCTTAACAACTTATAATTCGATTTCTTGCACTGTTTTTTATCCACTGTGTTGTACATCATAACTATGATGTTAAGTATGCGCTGGAGTTTCTCTAGGGCGCTCTAGGGGTTGGTTCTAGGACGCTCTAGAGAGTCTGTGAAGCGCTCTAGAGTTTGGCCGTTGTAGGACGCTCTAGAGTGTCTGTAGAACGCTCTACAGTTTGGCCGATTTTGTCTCTCAGCCTCTTTCTCGTTGTCATTCTCTACTCAGTCCGCGACACTCCGGTCCGAAGTCTCGGTGAGTGTCGTATTTTTCTCGGCTCGCAAAATTTTCACACCCTGAGCTCTACAACGGTGTGCGTCCCGCCCTCTCTCCGTATAAATGGCTTCTTGAAAAGCTACCTGAGTCTACCGTATGGCACGTCAAACGTAACAATGCGGGGCGAGAGCCAGGAGGAGAAGGAGGGAGAGTCAGAAGTTAGCAGAGAAGAACAGCTGCTTCCACCAGTAAAGGTAAGTTAGGCACATGAAGTTCGCTATGTAAACTGCTCTGTAAAAGTGAGCTATGTGAAGTTGACTGGGTGACAGGGTGTCTAATGCAGTAATTCTCTGAGGTAGCTTCTCTAGATGTACCAAACTAACCAGTATTGCTAGGTGTGCACTATTCAAGGAATCAGCTGATTATATAAAGCAATTAAGGGGGTTATTCATCATCACTGTTGCCATTCATAGCGTCATGATTGAGAAAATGCATTCTTCCAGATAATGAAGGAGAGTCATTGGTCTAATGGGGACGCAACGGTACTGGAAGTTTCTGTTGACAGGAAATTGCACTTCGAAACCCCGCCCCTTGTAGCAGTGAGGCCACACCCCCTACAACGAGCTCCAAGGGGAAGCACAGATGCATAACCTACGAAGAAGCCAGGTAAGGGATGAGAGGTAAATTAGTACAGCCCTGGCTCACCAAGAACTTACTGCATGCATCTTCTGGTGCATCCGAAGTACGCAGAGCACGCGGATCGATCCGACTGTGGTAAGCCATCGTGTATTTGCATATTGGCTTTTTCGCGCTCTAGCTTTGCAACGGAGCATTTTCAGAGAAAACTGCCTTTATTTTCTGACCTTCGTCGCCCGTTGGGTAGATGGTAGATGGTATCGCCCCTGAGACGAACAGACGTTCGAGGAGTGAGATATAGAGTAACAGACACACAGTACAGACACACACACACACAGACCCAAGTACTGTAACCCTCGCTGCGCATGCGCACCGAGGGTTAATGAAAAGCACTAAAGTGCAAACCCTCGGCGAACTGGGGATGCGCGGTACCGCTAATTGATGGGCTGGGCTTCTATTAGTATGCGTTTACTCGTGATCTCCCGCTAGTAGCTCGCAGAGAGTCTGACACGGGCTAGCTACAGTAGTAGATAGTATGCGAGAGTCGATACACGCCCTTCGTTGTGACTTCTTGTGCCTTCAAGATACACAGAGCAAGCGGACGACCCGGTCGAGGTTATAAGCGCATGCGCATTTTCCGCAGCGATAAAAATGGCCGA